TCCCGGGTTCAATCGACATACTTTGTTCAGTGGCAATATGGAACTGAGCCGTCGTGAAGACAAGGCAATGGAAAACCCAAACAAATGTAGCGAGTCAATCGAATGGCCGGACCGCCGATTCCATAATACCACACCACCAGAACATCCTAAAACACCGAACTTTAACCAGGATTTTCATAAAATGATCAAAGAATTTCGGGATACGATACGAAGGAGACAACCCGAAGAATGGGATTGAATCGAAATTTTATACACAAGTTCACAAAATAATGTACAAAACGTATATATGTAAAAGTATTTGCTCATATAAGCAATTTAATTAACGTTAATGTACAAAGCAAACTAGTTAAACTGGAACACGGTTGAACACTATTCGACATATCAACACGACCAATGTGTTAAAATAAAAATTGTATAAAATTACTACTATTACAGAATAATTCTTATTGGCGTTCACGGTATTTTTCCACCCTATAACTGATGGCAATTTTTAACGATTATCTGTAAATGAATCGCTAACTGCAGAAAGGGGACAAAAGAGTATATCTTTTCGATGGCTTAGTCTGGGGCTAGTAGCATCTTACCTAGCGAACCAACAACCCCCACGAGTCCAACCAACCCAGAGGCCTCAGATGACCAATCATTTATAAGACTGTAGACTCGAATGTGTGGGGTCGTAAAGCCCAATACCGCTCCTAAGGGCACCTGCACAAACAGAAAAGGGACAAGTCCATTATTATCAATTTTGATTTTATTATCATTCTGTATTAATAAATTCTGTGTCAAATCCGACTGTCTGAATATCAGATATACCATTCGGAAATTTCAGTTTACAACACAAAGGGGACAAATCCCATTTCAGTAGTAAATCGTCAGTGGCGCCGAACCTGCTTCTCAGTAGAGGCGACGGCCTCTCCTGTTATATAGTGGTGGTGGGTAATTAGATAATGATTGAACTAATAGTTTTACATATGCGACCTAGGTGAGTTGACAATGCCTCTTTTGTAAGAGAAATAATTAGTGCAGCATTTTGGTAATTATTATTTTTCTTACGGCTGTAATTAGATTTTAACTAACTCTGTAATTACAAATTTGTATTAATTATATTTTTAGTTGAAAATAAACATAAAACAATAATACTCACATATACTATAATAATAAAAATAAAAGTAATAAAATGCTGTTCATATTTAAAATCACTTTTCTATTTAAATATATTAATCATCATTAAACCTATTTAATTAAATTAATTATATTTTATTAATCCTATTTAAACCTCATTGTTTTGACTATTTGTTAAAACTAGGTTTTATAAAATGTGGTTGCATAATTTTAAATAGCAAATAATTCTTCTATAGGATAGATTAATTAACAATAATGCCATAAAAAATATTGATCACTTATTATACAACCTAAACGTATTTGATTATATAAATTGAGCTCTAAAGAAACAAAACTTAACTCTTACCTTGGTACTGTCCCATATAACATATGTTTAATGTTAGTTATTTTGAACATAGTATAAACATTATTTGTGCATTATAATTTAAATATTTATATATTAATGTTTATATAACACAGTACATGTTTAAATTGTAATATTTAAATTTAATATTATTTGTAATCTTACTATAACCTTTAATTAACCTAAATGTCAAACATAAAAAACTTTATATTCATACAATGCTCAGTTGATATTTTAATTTAAACGTTTAATTAGTGTTGTTGGCTAAACATCCATACAAGTTTTTATAATATATGTCAATACAATATAAATCTGCTAATATGAGATTTATATTTATACATAACTTTTGATGTTCATATTTATTAACTTAATATTAACACAACTTAATATTATTTTATTTAAAAATAGTGTATACTCAGCAACACTAGTAATATATCTATACTAGACTGGGTCAAAAAAAAGGAACAATTTTTTTTTGAACGGTACGTAGTATGAAAAAATTATTAATGATGATGATAAAAAATAAGTTATGGTGAAAGTTAGAGCCCTTAATATTAATATTAAGATACCTATCATGACGACTGACAGTTTTTTTACACTAATGGCATTTCTTATCCAAACCTTGTAAATTATTGACTTGAAAATGTCTAATGATACATATTCTTGAAGAAATTGAATTCCCTACAAAAAAGCCATCTTTGTAAATTTTCGTCAAACAAGCCGTTTTTATGGACATCGTGCCTTAAACATTTAACTGTTTTTTCAATTTTGTTTTTTGAGTTTAGATCCGAACAAATCGGTAATCCGAACGACCCCTTTTCCCAAACCCATTCGGATTAACGAGAGACCCTACTGTACAATTATTGAGTATTCCATTAAAATGTCTACTTCGGAAGCAGCACACTACGTGGATACCGGAGAGCAAAATATGGCCAAAACATCAACGTGTTTAACTAGACGACATCGAAGACGAAAGAAGTTAAATACGATTTTTTTTTTTTGCATTATTGTTAATTTTTTTAACTATTTCGTTATTATTTTATTATTCAATAAATAATTATCATAACATGGATTTACTTTAGAAGGAAAAAACTACTATTTTTAATGATATTGACAATTTTCTTTTGAACGATACTGCTTTAAATTAAAACAATATGATTTAAAATATATCATATACATTATGTATATTATATTATTTTCAAAACTAAATCGAATATTTCTGTAGAAAAAATAACCTGCACTGACAACCCTAACTTAGCTGTTCAGCAATACCTAAAAATGAAAGTTTTGAACAAACTGCGGAAACTGAGATAGAGGAAATGTGCCCTTCCAATTCTGGACAAACATCCAATACAGATACAAATCATAGTTTGTACGATATATTTAAGAAACCTCATAATAAACAAACAACTCGAGGAACAGAAGATAAGATATTAGAAGAGATCAGGAAAGGGCGTGAGGGGCGATTGGCAGCATTAAAAGAGATGACACAAGGTGAATGTAATAATTAAATTCAGATGTTTTTCATAAGTATGGCTTCAACAGTTTCAACAATGCATCAACAATTTTGCTGTGATTCTTATGTTCGAGTGGAAGTAAATAATTTGAACTACATTTTGCAACATCAGGATACATGTGTTTATTATATATATATATATATAATGTCGTGATAAACACACATGTTATGTTAGGTATTCAACAGTGTTTAGACTTCCAACGAGAAAGACACGGTTTACCGTTCTCTATGAGGCGGATACAATTTCCAGTTTATTTGGCTTTCTCTGTGACCATCAACAAGTCCCAAGGGCAGTTCATTTGACGTTGTCAGTCTTTTTTTACCTTCTCCCATGTTTACACAAACATGGACAATTTTATGTGGCATTTTCCATAGTGCGTCATCTGAATCAATTGGAGTACAAATTCTTGATTCTATCGGCGGCAATACGACAAGGAATGTTGTAAATCCAGAAGTATTATAGTCCCAAATATTCATACCACCAGATATCACAGTTAGACAAGCCCCAGCTACAAGTGAAAACATAGAACAAGAAAATGCTATTGTCGACAATAGTAAGTATTAAAAATAATTTATTAATAATTACAATAGAATAAATTGCATTATATAATGTCAAGACATTGTATTACTTATAAAAAAATGTATTAAAAAAAAAATGTACTGGCTTGTAAAGGAGACTGGATACTAATTCCGGATTGACAGATTCGATACTCTTTCATTTCCAGCTAAATATGTATGCCTCTGCCACACATTCCGTGTGGTGACGTATATTATAAACGACAGCTGTGATCGTATAACTTTTGTATATTCTCTGGAAAATCTTATCCTTATATATATGACGAACTAATCGCAAAAAGAGGTCAGTCAGAATGATGCCATTAGTTTTATTGATCATTTTTTAAAAAAAATCCTTAATACCCGGTGTTAAAAAAATATATTTGTTTTCCAATAACTGTAGCACCAAAAAAAAAATGCATTATTTCAGTATTTATATTCTGTTGCAAAATCAAAACTATATGGCATAAATCATATTATTCATAGGTACCTATCCAGAGCCAGGGCACAGTTTTCTGCCCTGTGACCGATGCATTTGACATTTATAACAGATGATCGGTATAAAAAATTATTGAGTTGCATGATAACATTAAAATACGAAGGTTATATTCCAATTTCCGCCAAAATAATTAAAATGTATTACCTAATATTTTTAATGCACCCCTGACCCTACAATATTAAGTTGTATTTTTATAAATATTCGGAATCGATATTTATTTTGTTAACCTAAAATAAAATGTCATAGAAAATATTGATAGCAATCATCTCGTCATCGATAAAATCACGCGACTGTTTATTGTATTTTATTGTGCCATTTTATTTTATTATGAACAAATTGAAGCAATTACTAGTAGCCTGACACGGTCGGGTATTGCCATCACCAAGGTCTGGACTATTAACCGGACTGCGATGACGATACCCGGCCGGGCTGTGCTTCCCTAATTGCCCATTAAGCGAAACCCCGGCGCAGCTTATCAGCAAAGGTGACCGTCGTATTTAATTTTAAATAAGCGGTATATTTGGACGACTACTCTAGTGCTATTATTTAAGTTTATTTAAATTAATAGTTGTATAATTATTGTCTACGGTCACGACGACAAGCCGTGGACATATTATGCTAGTTTATAATAATTTTAAATTTTACTACGTCGTGTCCATATAAAAGTTAACAAAGATATATATCTATTATTTTCTCTGTTAGGTGTCACCGTGTTTATAAAGATGTTATCTACCCAATTTTTACACAGAATAAACAGAAGGGAATCTTAAAGGGAGTTTATTAAAAAAAACAATCGGATATGTTGAAATTTAGTCGCCTAGCATACTAGTTTATTAGTTAGTTTACTCGCTGTAAACCTGTTAAGTTAGTTTTCTATAGCGTTTTAAATAGTTTGTAACTTAATTAAAAAATTTCAAAAGAAGATTTTAAAAATTATAATAGACAAACAAGTAATATTATTTATAATGAGGAAATGTCCGGTAGTAAGTCCGAGGCGCTGCGATTTCTTATTCAAATGTTTTTTGAATAAAAATGTAATATCGATTTGTTGTAGCAATGCCCGGAAGAAACCGATCGGGAATTGAAAAACACTTTAGATCGTATGCGTACTCGAATATGTGAGCTAGAAAAAAAAGTCGTCACATTTGATACAGCTATGGTGGAAAAAGAAGAGCTACGCGAGCAAATGAACGACGTGGGCAATTGGGTAGACCAGGTGACGACCAAGCACAAAGAAATGTTTGCTCAGCTGTCAGCAAACTACGATGCGTTATATGCCAAACACCAAGAGACAAATGCGATTGAAGCAAAGTTGCGATGCGAAAAGGAGAAATTGAAAAACGACAACGACCGAGTAACCGAACAAATGCGATCGTCGAAACGCAATGAACAACATCTATCGGCTGAAATCGATAAAATGGAAAGAGATACAAAACGCGTTAAAATTCAACTGTGCGAAACTCAAGTAAGTACTTCTACGGAAAATATGTAAAATGTTATGAAGTAAGCGATACGAAGAGCTGAAGTGTGACCAGAATGACGAAATCACATCTCACTAGTACAGCTTTCAAATTTGTTACTCTACTATCGCCTTTTTAGGTTATAAGTTTAATAATTAATATTTATTGGCATGTAATCTATTAGTGCAATTTATTTGCATATTTATCAATATGTCTATTGTATTTACAGTATTTTATTTCAAAATACTGCCCAGCCTTGCAGATCGTAGGCATATGGCTGACAAAAGATTCTTATCTGGCCTTCTTTCCGGCCTGGTAGACTCTCCCTCATTGTTAGCCAATATTAATTTCAGAGTACCTGTCCGTCAAACTAGAAATTCTGCCCCTTTTTATTTTCCATATTTGTCTTCCAATTATCTTCAAAACTCTCCCCTTATTCGCCTTATGCGACACGCCAATGAAGACCCATTGGTCACCTTTTAATAACATTATATATTTTTTTTTTGGCCACTTTATACTTGCTATATTTTTCTCTTCGTCTATTTTTAATTATTGTATATTAAATTTTATTTTTATGTATTAAGCACTGATATGTAAATCTGGGCTATGCCCGTAAATTATAATAAAGAAATAAAATGTAAGGATAAACTATTTGTTGTATTATGATTTTTTGGGGACAGAGGAATATTTTATAGCATTAATTTTTATGTAGCTCTCATTTTTAGCATATCACACTTCTTTAAAATGTTACCTGGAATAATCGTAAAACGTAAATTTGGTTACGACTATGTTTTTCTTTACTTATGCCACTGCGACATCGCAGTTTGTCTTGGCCCTTGAACGTCCATTACCCAATTGAGTACACTTTATGAAGATAACAAATTTGTTGTGTCTCTTTTACCATAACAACGAGACAATCATCGACTCTGACGTCTTAGATTTGTACGCCGTAATTAAACTATTGTATTTGGGGTTTACACAGACTGAAGTCAATGACCTGAACAACGAAATTACCAAAATTCAGTGCAGCATAAACGGTAAAGAAGAATCGATTTGCGCTTTCCGCAAACAGCTCGACGAAAACCGCAGGGAATACGATCGGTTGAGGGACGCGGCACGCAGGTTGGAGTGTGACCTAAAGCGTGCCAACGAAGAGTTGGCCAGTGCCAAGGCTTGCTCGGTGAGAACGGAGCAAAAGTTGACACTGGAGCGGGACACCCTGTCCAACGAACTGGAGTGCAAGCGACGGAATCAGTGCGATCTGCAGACCACACTGGACGAACAAAAGTGTGCGTTGCGCGATCAGAAGTCCAGCATTTGCAAGTTGGAGGCGATGGTGGCCGATCTGACGGCGGCCAACGAACGCGATCGTCGGGACACGGTGGCGCGTGTCCGAGAATTGACGGAAGAAAACTGCGGGATTCGCGAGGAAACCGTACGGAAAACCCGGGAAATCGACGAACTGCGTCGGAAAAACGACTGTCAAGCGTCCGAGATGGACGAAAAGAAGCGACAACTGAGCACGTTGAGTTGTTCGGTGGACGAAATGCGGTGTGCCGTGGAGAAAATCAAGCAGAGCATGCGGAGCAAAGTGCGCAGGCTGGAGAGCAACACACAAGCGTTGGAGTGCAAAATGAAATCCAGGTGCGCGAAAATCGCCGAACTCGACAGGGAGACTTGCGACTTGCGCAACCAAGTCGAACAACAATCGTACGACGTGTGTCACGTGCAAAAGATTACGCCCGTCGATAGATGCCCTTGTCCGGCAGAACCGTGTGACGACGTCCACGCTATTCTAGAGAAATACTCGTCGAATAACAACAACAACAACAACAACGAATGTGACGACGGGTCGGACGATACGGAACAAATGGTGTGCGAAATCCAAGGGTTGAACAAACAACTGTCCGCATTGAAGGACGCGGTTGTGTGTGGGCAAAAATAAACTACATGTAATCTAATTACCAAAATTAATCAAATAACTAAATACCCAGACTGTATTTGGAAAATGTAATTCTCACACTGACTATTTGCTTCTTTATTCAAAATAAAATTTAAATTCAATCCGTGCTCTATTAGATTTTTTGCTCTCCATTGTCTTATAATTATTTATTATGTAGGTAATGAACTGTTCAATACAATTGTTAAGTCCGGTTTACACTTATCAGAGTAGCCAGCCATAGGTTACGAAGGTATTGAAAATATGTACCGGCATTGCGGCTTATAAGTCAATACCGGTATGCAATGGTATCCCGTAGTATGCTACGGTGTTAAACGATCTTACACGGCCACCTATAAATTACCTAACCTACAACATTATGAGCTACTCTAATCGCCCATCAACTCCTATCATTACAAGACCCAAGATACTAAAAAGTCAAAATACAGCAAATAAAACTATTCCGTCGCTCATCATTTCCAAACCATTATGAGTCCTTAAACTCCGACCTCAAATTACCATCCATCAACGAAACTGCTGCTACCTAATACAAACGCGTCCACTCCAAACTGCAAAACATTCCCAACCAGTTGATCAACGAACTAGCTTCACTAACGCTTCCTGGTAACCCAACCAGACGTCTAAAAAGGAACTGGTGCCGCGACTTGATAGCTTAAGATTAATTAGGTACATAATATAATTAAGAGGCGTCACAAATGTGTGAATTCCTCCTCATGTGTATACAAACTTGTCAACTGTCTGTAAACTATTGTAACGTCGCTACTTGACTAGCTTACCAAACTAGTCTGAGTGCTCGTCGATAAGGTTAAAGTAGACGGCCCCCGACGGGAAACGGTTGGCTAGTCCGCTTTACGCCTAAGTAACCCTAAAGTCTCCTTTATAAATTTACTATATCGCCCGAGGAGCTTAACGGGCGATCACACTAAAATAACGGTAGTCGACACTCAGGTTATGCAGGCTACAAAGTATTTATTAATAACTAAAAAGCAGTGGCAAATCAATATACAAAATATGCAATATATATATATATTTATACAGTCTGACCTGAATACTGGCTGGTGATGATTGGGATCAGACCGGAGTCGAGCGGTGCGCACACAGAGATGACCGGTGATAACCGTAGGCGAATTAAGGTACACAAATAATAAATAAGAAGGCTGTATGGATGCGTAGGCGCGTGATGGTAAATCTCGACTGGTTAATTAGATGATACGCGAATGTCATCTCAGTGTGTCAGCGCTCCCTACCTAATTAGGTCATTAGTGATGTGTCCATAGGTTCGGGGCGCGAAGTAACGGTCGGGCGAAATGTGACCGTTACAACTTGCCCCTCCCCCGTTGAGGTCCGACCTCGGACCTTGCCATACAAAATAAGGGGTAGTCAACAAAAAAAGAAAAACTAATAAAATTAAAAATGTTGAACAAAGCTCCTGAAAACAAAGGTATGGATAAAAGGGGAAGGTACACCTATAGCTTGGCGAACTTCTGGCTAGCTTCTGTTGTATTTCCTAACTTCTCGGCCTGTTGAGTCCTTGAGGAAATCCCTCGGTTGAGTCTAGCCCATGGTCGTGTTCCCGTCACATAGGGCTGACTCGCCCTGTCGTTGCTTTCTTGATAAAGCTCGGGGCAAAAATCCTAAATCCATTGGTCTTCTCAAAGTTCCCCGTACTCATAGTGGCCTTTGTATAATATTATTACTGACATTCAAAAAATGAAATTGAGATTAATTTATGTAATTATGGGTCACAACAGGTGTGAGTGTGCGTCCTATGAAAAATGGTGATAAAAAATTAAAATGTCATGGAATCACATATTTACGCATTTAAGTTAACTTAATGGTCGTGGGGAAAAAGCTGCTTAAAAAACCACGCCATATACAAATGTCCTTAAGTTAAAGAACGCATACATCAGGGTGTTTTTAAATCATGTGGGAGTCTTAAAAGTTAAAATTACAAGTCAAAAAAATAAAAAAATAAAAGAAAATAGCCCAGTATCCAGGTCGTATTAGTTTTTTGTTTTTATCAGAATATTATATAAACATTATGCAAGCGATACAAAAATACAGGATTGTTTCTTGACGTTAGCAGACTTGCGCCGTAGGTATCGCATGCGCCTATCATAATTACTCAAAACGGGAACTATACTATGTGCTTTATACAATACAAATCAAAATAAAAGCATTAATTAGGACAAGCATTGTCCTTAAAAGGACATTTTTAAAATATCATGCTGTGTCATATACCGCTGCTTGGCTCTAAAACTCAAAACAAAATATATATATTTTATGTGTATATATACCATGCTAAACGTGTTATTACTATAATACTATAAGGCAATGTAATTTCATGCACAGAATTTGCCTTGGAGAAACCGCTATGTTATAATATACATAATATAAAAATCCTATAGATCTATGGACAATATACCCTTTTGTTGTCTGTGCCCACACAGTATTATGTACCCGCGCGCGTTGCTTACCTAAGCAAGAATAGACCCTAGCGATGACCGTTATCGTTTCTCCTTTGCTGTGTATATTGCGGCTGTGTAAAGCCAGTCATTTGTGTTTCGTTCGGGGCTTGAATAAGCCGTTGCTATTCCGAGTGAGTGAAAATTTAAGTGTAATTGTAATGCTTTAAATTTTGTAACGTAATTTGTTACTCGATTACCTATAGTGAATTATTCCGAAATAAACTGGAATAAATTGGAATGTCCAAATTTAAAATGAATTATCGTTCGAGAACCGCTCTCGGTAGCATAATTTTTCACTCTAATAACCTCGTGTTCGAAAACGAAATTGTGAAAACTAACAAGTGTACGCGAAGTGTCGTATTATATATGTAAATTCGTGACAAAAGTGGTAAGTGCCGTTATTAGTACGAGATGCCGTTTTTAATAAATACATCGGTAATTCATTCCGTGATATTCGGAGACAAAAGCCGTAAAAAATTATATAAATCGCCGATTTAATTGTGCCGGTAAAAATAATAAAACAAAAATCCACTGCAAATTTCAGGGATAAAAATGTGCCGTAAATTAATAAATCATCGGTGATCAGCCGGAATAAAATATAACCCACATGTGCAGATGACCGCGCACGAAACTCGAATTAACAATGTTCACCTAAAAATCAGTTCGGTCGAATAAAATAGAGGTTAGCTACGCCTTTCTTTAAACTACCTACACGCCCGATTTTTAAATTTAAAAGTTAAGTGTCAAGTTTTGTGGAAAAATTTGAGGTCCCTTGACCTTAAACAATTCGAATGTTCGGGTGACTACAATTGGCAAACGTGCGATGAAAAAAAAAAAAAAAAAAAATCATGGCACGGCATTCATCAACATAAAACAAACGACAAGCCGGTAACACTGCTTGGCGGCAACGTGGCATCACTGTTGGATGGCAACATGGCAACACTGCAGGACGGCAGAACGGCAAATAATGGCAACTAATGGCCAAACGGCAACATGGTAACACTGCAGGACGGCAACATGGCATCACTGCAGGACGGCAAACGGCAAACAAAGGCAACTAATGGCCAAACGGCGGCATGGTAACACTGCAAGCCCATAACAAACCGACCGGCGCCCGTAGGCAAGTACTAATATAATACGCACAGTACCTGATCAATTTGTAATTTGGTAATTTACCTTGAAATTTGGTTAATAAAGAAATACGACGCGTTTTCACAAAACAAAATAAAATAGTATATTACTATCAATGGTGACTAATTTTATATAAGAAATGGATATATTAAAAAAAAACAATTATATAATTCTAGAGGGATTCCGAGACTTGTGAATATTAAGGAATTCCTTGCTTAAGTCATAAAACAAGTCGCCCATGACTGACAGTCTTACGTTGATTACCCGACTTATCAGTTCCTCCCATATGACTCGGGCTCCAAAAGACGGAGCTATTCGGTCTCGACTCATCCCGATGGCGGGAATTGTCAACCACTTAAAATGATTGGCCGCGAGGTAAGCAGCCAGTTGGCGCACTGCTTCCCTGTACCCCGTTTTAGTTGGTTTCCCATTAAACTTTTCTTTTGTTAATAGGGTGACAACTAATACGGCGCCCCTACGTTGAACACAAAGACGACTGGAGATCCTATCGTGCACTGATGGCTTCCCAAAGCTCGCCGAAAAGAAACGGGCTATGCCTCGTGTCTGACGGCGGCATTCGTCAAAGTCCGACGACGCGCAGTGAGCTAATATCACGCCGGACCCGCGGAAGAAATCCATCAGTGGCGCATTTTCTAGACGAAGAAGGACTCCATCGAAAAGCAAATCTACACTGGTCATCGCTGCAATATAATTAAGAACTAGTTTTATCTTAAGTTAGATTAAGCCTAGACTATAACTAATAAGTATTGGGGTCAGTGGGTGTGTTTATAATGGACTATCTGCATAATTAACCCTTCTTCTTCGTAAGCGCGGCTCTATGGCGTTATCGCCTGCTAAACAAAATTCCGTAATTTTGCGCCTAATTATTTGGATTAACCAATGTATAATAATATACCCTAACAATGCTCCCACAAGATAGAACGCGTATCTGTGGTTCGTTATATTGGTATAAACGTTATCAAATTGCTTTGCCGAGTCTATCTGGGTGATCAAATCGTCCAATGATTTCGAAGTTTTCGTTAAATCGGTAAGATCGTTCGCGATAGGAATAAGATGAATCGGCTTCTCTAAAGTCGCGTTTCTAATTTGCTTTAGCTTCTCCGATACTTCGATTGTATTGTTTAAGAAGTCTAAAGTAGGAATAAAATCCGTATGTATGTATCGTCCGCTATTTATTGCGATTGCCCTTAGAATGGTATGAGGGGTATGTACCTCACAATTATTCTTAATCTTTAACAAGCCTGATCCCACCAGTTCTATAGTATACGTATATGGGCTGCAAATTATTGTAATATCGATCGGGTTCAGTGCTAAATATAACCACGCGTTTCTACTCTGTAATTTAGTGAAAATGGGCAGTGTGAC